CTGAATGTTGAAACCCAAGTAGAAAGTTATAAAAAGCTGCTCCCTGTTTTATTGCTGTTCACTTGATTTGGCTGACATTTGCTTTTTACTTTCATCAAATCTTACAGAGCAACAAAGACACATCAAGTTACAAAAGGTATCACTTTCTAGTATCTTTTTTTTTTAAAACAATTGGTGTCAACGTCAATGACGTGATAAAGATGAAGGGTGTTCAACTGATTACTCGAACCCATAAAAACTCCACCAGGGAATCTTGTTTTGTGGGTACAATGCGTAGAGCCTGGAACACAGTGGGTGCTCAACGTTGGAGGATTCGAATTCCAACTTTAAAATGAGTACAAGGATCTACTTTAGATCAAATATTAAATCTGGCTAACAATTTTGGGCCACACTCGCTTCTGTGTCTCAAAGCAGGTGGGGCAGAAAAATGTAGCCGAGTCTCAAACTTGCTGCTATTCTCTTTATAAGTTTATAACTACTTGGCATCTCTAGCTCAGAAGCACAAAATGTATATACAAAAAAACGATCAGAAATTATCTTAACTGAAAGCACTAGTTTAAACAGCCTAGAGTCTTGTAGAAATTGTTATTCTAAAACATGCAGAGGCAGTAAGAGTCACCCAAAACCACATTTTATTCTATAATCTTGACATTGCTTTTCCATTAAAGATGGAAGCAATGTGAAATGGATGGAAATATTTCATTAAAAGAACAAAATGAATTAATCACAGCATGTACACCTAATAAAAACCTTGGGTTTATGCCATACACTCCAAACACAAGGCTAAGTCTAGTAGTGGTTCATGTTCTGGGTTTTTGTAAAGCAAAGGAAAATATTTGGAAAAATCAATGTGTTTCAACAGAAGAGCCACAAAAGCCCTGAAAGCAGAAAGTTGACACAATTTTAAATATAATTCATATATATATATATTTTAAAATCAAACACAATTAAATATCATATGGTTTAAGTACATGAATACTTCCGCTTTAGAAGAATAACAGAGGTGGTACATAGTACCAAAAACTTACACAAAGCCTTTTTGCTTCTTCTGTCGATCAAACAGTGTGCCTCTATACAATCAAATATTGCAATGGAATAAATTCTCTGTTCATTCAAGACTTTCTCAAGGACAAAAGTGATTAATTATATATATATATATATATATATATATTTTTTTTTTTTTTTGCAAAGTCTGAGCAAAAGCAGAAACATCTAAGAGAACTTTCTTTTCTCGCAATCATGTGCATTGAGGAAGCATTGGCACCACGTGTTCAATGGAGTGTGCTCACCAACTGAACGGCCTTGCTGATGGCTGTGAGGTCCCGATGCAGAAACCACCTGAGCAGAAGTGCAGTGAATGAGTCTCCTACTGTCCTGAAGCAAGAAGAAAGACCACCAACTGCACACTTCCCAGCTCACAGCAAAGAATGGGGGAGCCAGTCAAACAAAGTTGAATGTTTCTCTCTCCCCAACCACCCTGCTCACCTTAATAAAAAAAAAAGAATTATAATTTGGGAAAAACTGTTTTGTTCAAGGTGCCACAGGGGAAAAACTGGAGTCATCACTGTAATTTCTTTCTTTCCCCATGTATTCTGAAGGGAAAGTTAAGAAACTGGAGTGTAGAATTCCAGAGGCGCAAATCCTAATGCTCAGAGTAAACCAGATTTACCCTTCTGTTAGCAGGGGAGAGAATGGTTTTAAGCATACTGCATCTCAGGAGGAATTAAAATGTGAAAACTGTATACTGCCATCAAAGGGAGGAAGAAGTCACTGAAACCTGACCCATGACTTGTCAGCTTTCTTCCAAATTAATGCCACTGTGAAGGAAGACTGCATAATAAACTCTCACCCTGTTCCACTGAAGCTGCTAGCACCACACTGCCACTCAGAGCTGCCTGGCCCTTGGTTGGACGGACTCACCTGCTTTGGGAGGACAAAGCAAAGCACTTATGGCACCTGCTTTATGATGCTATTAGGGATGAGTTACTGCTGCGAATGTACATCAAGTATCAGTTCTATGCTTATCTGCCTACCACAGGATGTGGTCCCTGTCTATTCCAGTGGGGTTGAAACTCTCTCATAAATGGGTTATTGCCATTGGAAAACTAATAATTTTCTAGTAATGTAAACAATACCATTTAGTATCTTTAAGACTCTCATTGTATGAACGTCATGTGCATCAATTAGGCCTACAGGTAACTGCATTATGGTAGAAGTCTAGGATTGTCTCCCATTCTCTCCTGGAAACAACAGTGACAGATCAGTGAAAAGAAATACAGTGCTGTTTTCATTGGCTGTGTTGAAGAATCCAACCAAGGGAAAAATGTTCTCTTATTTTTCAAAAGCAGGTTTCCTTTATCTCATTTTGAGTCATAACTGAAAAAAAGAAAAGAAAAGAAAATGTTAAGGTACATTTCTTTAAAAAGTGACCTATTATCATTACAAATTAAGGATGGACACCAACACTTAGTGTTTACTATATACCAGAGTTTATGACAGCCAGCAGCTGACTACAATTTTGTGAGGTAAAATATTGTAATTTTCCTTGTTAACATATGAGTGAACTGAAGTTTCAAGAGGCTAGGTAACTTACCCAAGGGTCACATAACAAGGACTGGCATCCAGACTTGCTTTGGATTTTGTCAATAGATATTAGAATGAAAAATATTGCCAATTTTAGGTCAGGCACAGTGGCTCACACCTGTAATCCCAGCACTCTGGGAGGCCAAGGCAGGTGGATCACGAGGTCAAGAGTTTGAGACCAGCCTGGCCAATACGGTGAAACCCTATCTCTATTAAAAATACAAAAATTAGCCGGGCGTGGTGGTGCATGCCTGTAATCCCAGCCACTCAGGAGGCTGAGACAGGAGAATCTCTCGAACCCAGGAGGTGGAGGTTGCAGCGAGCTGAGATTGTGCCATTGCACTCCAGCCTGAGCAACAAGAGAGAAACTCCATCTCAAAAAACAAAACAAAACAAAAAAACCAAAATTCCCAATTTTTGACAGAGTAACTCTACTAGAAATTAACCCTACTGAATATTCAAGAGGGATGGTAAAGACACACATGCAGACATTCACTAAAATATTGCTTGTAACAGAGAAAAACCTGAAAGAACCTAAATAATCATTCACAAGGGATTCATTAAATGACAGTAGAGGCATGATATGGAATACTCCCACAGTCCTTACAAGGAAAAAATGAACTCTGATCTGCTAGGCACCCAAGACCAAGCTCATGAGGCTGACTCCCTCCTGAACTCACACCACTGGGGACAAACATCATGGAAGACAAGGTCCCCGGTATTGTGATGTCGGACATGCACACATAAAGCAATTCAGTAATGATGTGAGGTAGTTTATGCAGAATGTCCAAGTACATCCTATGGGCAAATGTCGAGCTGGAGGTTGAAGCAGAGAAGTATTCACAGGATAAGGAGCTACTGAATATTCCTTCACAGGCCTAGGACTTCACATATTCATAAAATCATGGGATGAGGCTCAGAAGGGAACCTTTTGGGGTTTTCTTGTTGAATTTCTCTGATCTACTGATGAGGACATGAGGAACTAAAGAAGAGTCACCTGCAAAAGGTCACACTTACTGCCCAAAGAAGGACTCAGCTAGTTCTGCAAGTCTACTGTTTATTTATTTATTTATTTATTTTTGAGACAGAGTTTCGCTCTTGTTACCCAGGCTGGAGTGCAATGGCGCGATCTCGGTTCACCGCAACCTCCGCCTCCTGGGTTCAGGCAATTCTCCTGCCCCAGCCTCCTGAGTCGCTGGGATTACAGGCATGCGCCACCATGCCCAGCTGATTTTTTTTTGTATTTTTAGTAGAGACGGGGTTTCACCATGTTGACCAGGATGGTCTCGATCTCTTGACCTCGTGATCCACCCGCCTCGGCCTCCCAAAGTGCTGGGATTACAGGCTTGAGCCACCGCGCCCGACCTTACTGTTTATTTTTATTTTTACTTTCGAGACGGAGTTTTGTTCTTGTTGCCCAGGCTGGGGTGCAATGGTGTGATTTTGGCTCACCGCAACCTCTACCTCCTGGGTTCAAGCGATTCTCCTGCCTCGGTCTCCTGAGTAGCTAGGATTACAGGCATGGGCCACCACGCCCAGCTATTTGTTAAATTTTTAGTAGAGATTGGGTTTTTCCATGTCGGCGAGGTTGGTCTTGAACTGCTGACCTCAGGTGATCCACCCGCCTTGGCCTCCCAAAGTACTGGGATTACAGGCATAAGCCACCGCCCTCGGGCTGAGTCTACTGTTTTTTTCCCTCACCAATGCACTACTGATCCCTGAGGGCCTGGCAGGACAGAAAATCTGACAAGTCAAAGAGAAGGCCTAGCAAGCTCAAAAACCAAAATATAGTGAAATATAGCTGTATATCCTAAAACTGAAAAGCATATACTAACAAAATTTGAACAGATAACTCAAACGAAAAGCCTGAATTGTAAACATCCGCTTTCCAAAAATGGTTTCTAAAGAACATTTTCTTATTATGGAACATTTGATTATGCACAGGATAATGATAACACAAACATAGCTACCTCTCACTTCTTATACACTTGTAGCTTGCTCCTGGCTATCTGAGGTTTGACTGAGACATAAAATAAATACAGACAAAAATGATCAACCTCATGCAGAAAAGAGGGCAGAGTCTGGAAAAGTAAATAGAGCTTTGGTATGAATCAATTCAGTGCAAATTCACAATTAAATCAAGCTCCAGTAATGACGGTTCTTAGAGTAAAAAGTTGGCTGGGAAGTCAGAAAGAAAAGGATGGTAATGGACCCAAACTGAATGCAAGTTCTCCAAACTACTGAGGGTTTTATGAGATGTCATCTGAAAGTATTTTCTCTGACTCCTAATTTTTGCTTAATATAATGATAGAGGAATAGTTTAATATGTTCACATAGAATCTAAGTAGAAATTCTCAGGACTGGGTGCGGTGGTTCACGCCTGTAATCACAGCACTTTGGGAAGTCAAGGCTGGTAGATCATGAAGTTAAGACATGGAAACCATCCTGGCCAACAGGATAAAACCCTGTCTCTACTAAGAATACAAAAATTAGCCGGATGTGGTGCACACCTGTAGTTTCAGCTACTTCGGAGGCTGAGGCAGGAGAATCGCTTAAACACAGGAGGCAGAGGTTGCAGTGAGCGGAGATTGTGCCATTGCACTCCAGCCTGGCGACAGAGTAAGACACCATCTCAAAAAAAAAAAAAAAAAGAGGAATTCTCCTACCACATTAAATCTCTTCATGAATCAACTCAAGTTAGAGACAATCACATTGTTGAAGAAACTGGGGCAGGCGCCATGGCTTACGCCTGTAATCCCTGCACTTTGGGAGGCAGAGGTGGGCAGATCACCTGAGGTCAGGAGTTCGAGACCAGCCTGGCGAAAATGGTGAAACCCCAACTCTACTAAAAAAAATACAGGCTGGGCATGGTGGCTCATACCTGTAATCCCAGCGCTTTGGGAGGCCAAGGCAAGTGGTTCACCTGAAGTCGGGGGTTCAAGACCAGCCTGATCAACATGGAGAAACACTTTCTCTACTAAAAATACAAAATTAGCCAGGTGTGGTGGCACATGCCTGTAATCCCGGCTGCTCAGGAGGTTGAGGCAAAAGAATCACTTGAACCCGGGAGGCGGAGGTTGCAGTGAGCCGAGATTGTGCCACTGCACTTCAGCCTGGGCTACAAGAGCAAAAACTCCATCTCAAAAAAAAAAAAAAGCCGGGCGCGGTGGCTCAAGCCTGTAATCCCAGCACTTTGGGAGGCCGAAGCGGGTGGATTACGAGGTCAAGAGATCGAGACCATCCTGGTCAACATGGTGAAACCCCGTCTCTACTAAAAATACAAAAAATTAGCTGGGCATGGTGGCGCGTGCCTGTAATCCCAGCTACTCAGGAGGCTGAGGCAGGAGAATTGCCTGAACCCAGGAGACGGAGGTTGCAGTGAGCCGAGATCGCGCCATTGCACTCCAACCTGGGTAACAAGAGCGAAACTCCGTCTCAAAAAAAAAAAAAAAAAATCATGCAGCATTATGGTCAATATGAAGCCAGCTAATTTGTTATTCTTCTAATGTGTCTTTTTTCCAATAATTTTAAGAAATTTTACATTATCTTATCAATTTACATAAGAAAGTCTGCTGGAATTTTGATTATAATTGTACTGTATCTATCAATCAATTTCAGGAGAATATGGTGCCTTAACCACGCTGAGTCTTTTCATTCACACACAAGACTTATTTCTGCTTTTTTTCACATATTCTTTAATCCTGCTCAGTTGTTTTATAGTTTATACTGTGCAGCTCTTGCACATATTTTGTTAAACCTCAGCTCACAGCAATCTCTGCCTCCTGGGTTCAAGCAATTCTCCTGCCACAGCCTAACAAGTAGTTGGATTACAGAAGTGCACTACCATGCCCGGCTAATTTTTATACTTTTTGTAGAGACAGGGTTTCGCCATATTGGCCAGGATGGTCTGGAACTACTGGCCTCACACTTGATCTGCCCGCCTCAGCCCCCCAAAGTGCTGCAATTACAGCTGTGAGCCACTGTGCCTGGCCATTTTGTATAGTATCCATGGTTTTATACAAATCCTTTCTTTTTTTCACGGGGCTGGAGTCTCACTCTGTGGCCCAGGCTGGATGCAGTGGTACGATCTCGGCTCACTATAACCTCCGCCTCCCGGGTTCAAGTGATTTTCCTGCCTCAGCCTCCCAAGTAGCTGGACTATAGGCGTGTACCACCATGCCCAGCTAATTTTTGTATTTTTAGTAGAGCTGGGGTTTCACCATGTTGGCCAGACTGGTCTTGAACTCCTGACCTCTGGTGACTTGCCCACCTTGGCCTCCCAAAGTGCTGGGATTACAGGCGTGAGCCACTGCACCTGGCCTAAACTTTGATTTTTAACTCTTTAGTTCAGCAAGCCACCTGGGCTGTGTTCAGTTTCAGTACAGTTTCCCTGTATTGCCCATTGTGCAATATATGGAAATAGTTGTTTCATGTAGTTTATCTGTTTTCTAGTTGCTTATGATAAGAAGGTAATCCCTACAGCAGTTATCCTTCAAAGGCAAAGAAGCCCCTTATGTCCTTTTTAATTTTTATACCTGGAAAATAATACTTTTCAGTTTATACAAAACAAAGTCATCCTTACCTTGGTAGATTTCTCTAATGGTTGATCATACTGTGCCTGTTGCATAACATCAGTGACTATCATTTTAGCAATCTTCCAAGCTAGCTCTTCCTGGGCCTAAAGAAAACAATTTAAACTGGTGGTTATTCATTAGATGGATAGAGATACACATACTCAGTGATCTGAACAAATGGCTTACGCACATCATTTCTACTTATTTGAATAAGAAGTTCATTTCCATGTATGAAAAAATCTGGGCCACCCTCTGGCTATGAGTATTAACATGTCATTCACTGCCTTTCGGAGTCAACTACTGGACACCCAACACTGGAACTATTTTCATGTTAGATGGTCAAAATAAAACATTTTCCTTTTTTCATTTCCCATCTCTTAATGTACCTAACTATTAAAAAAGCAAACCTCGGGCCAGGCCTGTAATCCCAGTACTTTGGGAGGCTGAGGCAGGTGGATCACCTGAAGTCAGGAGTTCAAGACCAGCCTGGTCAACATGATGAAACCCCTTCTCTACTAAAAATACAAAAAATTAGCTGGGTATGGTGGCAGGCGCCTGCCGAGATCGCGCCATTGCACTCCAGCCTGCGCAACACGGCAAAACTCCGTCTCAAAAAACAAAAGAAAAAAAAAGCAAGCCTCCAGTACTTAAAGTAAAACTGATGATGGGGAAGGAAACATTGTGTAGCTTTTGATCTACACACTGATTACTGATGCCTGCTGGCTGATGGAAACTTGAATGCATGCATATCCTTCAGCAGTCCTAGCCTCTGGACTGAAGTACTGTCATTGCTACTACCAGGCAATTGTTAGATGTCAAGAAGGGCCACCCTTTCTTGGTACATTCTGGATAAGACAGCATAAATATGCCATGCTGCTTAAACATGGGAACTAAAAAAGAGAACATTTAAAATCTTACTTATACGAGGGTGGCATTTATAAACAGAAATCTCTTTATCCTAAAAGTAGAATTTACCTCATCAGTATTTCCTTGCACCCATTTCTTCATAGCTTGTGAGAACATGGATCCTAGTAAACAAAGACAAAATTGAATGTACATTTCATGCATAATTTTACATTAAAAATGTTCTTATTTGACTGGGTGCAGTGGCTCACGCCTGTAATCCCAGCACTTTGAGAGGCCAAGGTGAGTGGTTCACCCGAGGTTAGGAGTTCGAGACCAGCCTGGCCAACATGGTGAAACCTCCGTCTCTATTAAAAATACAAAAATCAGCAGGGTGTGGTGGCAGGCGCCTATAATCCCAGCTACTTGGGAGGCTGAAGCAGGAGAATTGCTTGAGCCCAAGAGGAGAGGTTGCAGTGAGCTGAGATTGTGCCACCGCACTCCAACCTGGGTGACAGAGCGAGACTCCATCTCAGGAGAAAAAAAAGAAAGGCTAGGCACAGTGGCTCACATCTGTAATACTAGCACTTTAGGAGGCCGAGGTGGGTGGATTACCTGAGGTCAGGAGTGAGACCAGCCTGGCCAACATGGCGAAACCCTGTCATGCCAGCAACTTGGGAGGCTGAGGAAGGAAAATTGCTGGAACCCAAGTGGCGGAGTCTGCAGTGAGCCTCAGTCGCACCATTGCACTCCAGCCTGGGTGACAGAGCGAGACTCCGTATAAAAAAAAACAACCAAAAAAAACCACCCCCTCCGCTACCAAAATGCTCTTATTTAAAAACTGTTGCTTCCAGACACAGATATTCTCTCTTGTGTGATACCATCCAAAATATTAAGGAACATTACATTAATAAAAACTGATTGTATTGTTTCCATAACAGAGTATTTAGCCTGCAAACATCATGGCTTGAAAAACTTTTGAAAAGGTGTTTCAGAGTTCTGGACTTTTCTTCTACTCTCCTCACTTGATGAAAGAAACTAACATCTAGTGTCAGTTTGCAGCAAACATTAAAACAAAAAAAACCCTCATCAGGATCTTGCTCTTGGGTAAGAATCTAGCAACATGTTGGGAGACATCAACTCATTTGTTCTGTTTTCAAACCTTGTAGACCAGCTCCTCTACAAAAGGGCTCGTAGGACAGAGTATGCTGCTACATTCTAGTTCTCCAGTCTATATAAACTAGAGAGGTGAGAGAACAGTTTCAAAGAGCCATACTCTATCCAAGCCAGAGTACACCTTAACTTCCTCGGACGTGCAAGCCTACATCTGTAATCACATGCTGAGAATCATCCGAAGTAGGTCAGCCTCTATCTCTATGAATGAAATACACATCCCTTTTATTTAATAATTTGAACAGGCTCACTTCCTAACTTTGTTTCAAACCAAGTGGATTGTTGGTAGATTATTTCTTGAGGCAAGGTCCTGATTAATTCAATAACTGAATTCATAAAATAATACAAAACATGGATCCTTTTCCCTCAACATTTATTATTACCCGAGGGCTTAAATATTGGTTTATTTGAATTTTACTGCAAACCAGTGTGTACAGAACTACAATGTTAAATGCTCTGTCTGAAGGCTCAACGGGCTATTGAATCACCGATGCACTGCTCTCGTCAGGCCCCAGGTGGAGTCACTCTATTGAGTTTTCCACGTGTTGACTGACACTTTTTCCTCCAAGCCCACATCTTAAGACTCCTCCTCTGTACATTCCCTCCACCTTTAACATGGAGCTTCTCCAGCATCTACCTGTCAGTTTTCCTTTCTTCTTCAATACATTTTCTTTGGGCATCTCATTCCCTTGTGTGGCTTTAACTTCCTTCTATTTGCAAATAACTTAGAAATCCCTTGAGTGTCAAATCTGTACTTCCAAATTGTCCAAAGGCATCTCAAACTGAACCTATTTAAAACTGAACTCATCTACCTCCCACTTACTCTTTCCCTGTGTTGTGTATCTCAGTTAACGTCACTTTTTCATCTAGAGAACCCATGTTAAAAAAAACTCAATCTACCTTCCTC